CTAGGAGCAAGGACGCTACTAGGGGCTCCTGGCCTTACTACTAGGAGCAAGGACGCTACGAACGTAACAAAGGGCATCGCTACTAGGAGAAAGGACGCTACGAACGTAGCTCCTGTCATTACTACTAGTAGCAAGAAGCTATTGAGAACAAAGGGCATGTCATCTTTAGAAATCCAAATAGATGGATCTTTAGAAATCCATCTGCTCTCATACGCACGGCGTCCCGGGGAGGTTCGTCATATTTGCTTGTGCAGCTGGTGCCTGGGTGCCTGAATCTGCGGGAACACTTTTTCGGTTTCTTGATCACCCGACTTGGCCGTTACGTCCCAACCGTGGACTTCAACACTGGGACTCAGCATCAATTTCTGTAGATGCCAGCCTTGGATTATCCCTTGGAGTAGCATTTCCTAAGGTCTTGAATCAATCCTTCATTTCAAGGTAAACAAAAAAACTCTGAAGTGCCTGCAGCATCATTTCTTTCTCCGAGATTCTGGAGGTTCCGAGGGTCACTTGTAAAGCAGCAATTTGTCATTCCAGCAGCAAGGTTCTCGGTGACGCTGATCCCTTCTCTAAAACATTCTAAGACAGGAGCCCCTAGTAGCGTCCTTGCTCCTAGTAGTAAGGCCAGGAGCCCCTAGTAGCGTTCTTGCTCCTAGTAGCGATGCCAGGAGCCCCTAGTAGCTTCTTGTTCCTAGTAGTAAGGCCACTACTGTATGCAGTGTGTGTGTTCCATGGGAAGTGCCTTGAAATAGATTTGCATACGTTGAGCTGATCGTCAACGTTGAGTTGATCATCTAATCCACCAGAAATCTCTTGGAAATGTAATTCCAGACATCTGTGATGGCACCTCGTTGTCTGTTGTCTGTTCTGGAACCGGTGCCGAAGACCGCGCAAAGTTGCTTTGTTAAAGTTGGAGGCCCCAAGGAACAGCAAAGCAACTTGCATCGTGCTGTTTATATCGAATGTACCTCAAAAAGCAAAATCAAGGGGGTGCACTTTGTTCATGCTGAATCTAATTGAAAAACAGTAATGAATCAGTGTTGGCAGGGGGCTTAAGGTCCTTGGTTTCGCTTTCTAGTACCAGGATGTACCAGGCGTGTTTGTAGCGTTGTTATTCCATTGGAAATTCCTTGGATAATATAGATCTGCGACGTCACTTACCCAAATCCCATTCGTCATTTGACTTAAAACATGCCAGCGGAATTTAAACCCAATGGAATAGAATTGCAGATCCTGCCAAAGATTTGCAATCTCAGCATGACCCCAGGAACAAAATTGCAGAACCTGTTGTAATTTGGTGTAATTTTGTCGAAATTAGACCCATTGATTTTGATGCTAGACCCCCTTTCCTTTATTGCCTTAACGTCGTCTCTCAGATAACAGGAAAACGAGAACACTGCCATCATCATCATCATCATCATCATCATCATCATCATCATCAATTGTACAGCTTTTTACAAAGTAAATTGATGATGAAGCACAAAATTATCCATTTAATTTCTATAGAAAAAGAAAACAACAATATTCACAACAATAAAATTATGAAATGGTGGTGGACGACTTTGCAAATTAAAGGATGGGAGAATGAAAAGCAAAAGGCGACCGAAGTGATCCCGTCGGTTGTATCATGAAGGCTCTTTCCATGGCCGATTGTGGGTGTTGCTGGGGTCTAGCCTTCATGACCAGCATGAGTACTTCCGGTGGCACCCGGTCCCAGACCTACGATTTTGTTGGGATCTTAGTGCAATATCTCAATATCTGTTGAACACATGTGGGGCCACCAAGCACAAATCAAGGTGACTCCACTACTCCTCTAAAAAAGCATACACTAGCAACTAGCAGGCTCAAGAATTCCAGCAAAGCCCCAAAACTCTTACACATCAAAAATCTTAGAAGATATGTTCAGCGCATATGTTGCACTGACAACAACAGTCGCTCAAGCTAAATCTGGCAGAGCACCATCAGCCGCATGGCCACGTCGTCTTTCAGGCGAAGCGTCCTGTCTCAACAAGTGGTCTTCAAAAGATGTGGAGGTGCATGATTCAGCCCAGTTGGTTAAGCAATTTAGTGGCATACAACAAGCAGCTGTCAACTCAACTTGGAAAATTGAGAGCAGGTGAGGCTTCAAAAAATGAATCAGCAGCTTCAACCAGCCTGAGAACCTTCATGCATCTCTACAACGTGCCTCAGAAAAAGGCGCCACATTCACTCCTAGCCACACCACCAAGTGTGAAAGGGGAAAGTGTCAGGGACTTGCAACCTAGGTACATTTGTGGAACATCGTCCGCGGTACTTGTTGAGCTTTGGGAGTCAGGTACCAAGGTTCGCATCGCCCTGGGACATCATGGTAAGAGCATCATTGAAGCAGTCTGACGAAAGCTAGACCAAATCACATTGGACCGTTGAGGCTGTTGGGGCTCCGGCATTTCTCCGAAGAATTGGCTCTTCTCGGGAGTCTCCTTGCTGAATTCTTTCTAGTCCGAAAATCCAAGCTTTGTGAACAATATTCACTTCTCAGAGTGACACCCGGGAAACCATGGGAGATTGTGGGCGCACAGGTTCCGGCGTATTAGGAGCTTGACCTCAAGGCGTCAAGTACTGCGGCTCAGAAAGCTAGGAAGGTAGAAAGCTATATAAGGGCTATATATAATGTTCTTTTTACCTTGATCTTTTTCTTTTTCTTTGCCTGTCTCTGACTAAAAAATGATCGAATGTCTCCAGTTTGTCTATGCTCTTCAATTGTGTCCCCTGCCGTCGTCACCTGATCCAGCCTGAGACAAAGGAACGAAGGAGTCCAAAATAGTGACTGTGTAGGCCACGGCTACTAGGAGCAAAGGGCATCGCTACTAAGAGCAAGAACGCTACTAGGGGCTCCTGGCATCGCTAGTGGGAGCAAGAAGCTAGTAGTAGCTCCTGGCCTTACTACTAGGAACAAGGACGCTACTAGGTGGAGTCCATCGCTCTTAGGTTGAAGGCCATTGCACCAAAGGGCATTTGCCACTGCATCGCTGTGCACATTGCCCTGAGCTCCCAACGTTACTTGGCCTTGAATTTAGCCCAGGCGATGTGGTCTCTCTAAAAGAAAGTGAAACGAAACTGAAGGAAAGCTGAAAACGGAAAAGCATGGAAGTGTCGTTGTCAAAAACAGAAAATGGAAGTCCACCTGATTGAAAGAAAAAAATCAATTTATATTAGGTGGAGGCAATCCCTCTTAGTTTGGAGGCCATCGCTATTGGGTTGGAGGCCATCGCTGATAGGTTGGACTAGTAGGTTGGACTAGGCCATTGCTAGCAGTAGCAGGTTGGACGCCATAGCTATTAGGTTGGATCACTAGGGCCATCGCTATTAGGTTGGAGGCCATCGCTATTAGGTTGGAGGCCA